GAGGCGGGGTGAGGCGGGGTGAGGTGAGGTGAGGTGAGGTGAGTTGAGGTGAGTTGAGGTGAGGTGGAAGATGGGGGGAGGGGAAGATGGTGGTTTGAGTGCGAACTGAGAAGGAATAAGAAATAGCGACAAGACTACTACGAAACGGCGGCAAGACTAGCACAAAGTGGTGACAAGACTACTACGAAATCGTGGCAAGACTAGCACAAAGTGGTGACAAGACTCGACGGGGCGAGAAGAGGTGGTGAAGAATCCCGCTCGAGCGAGTACGACTATACAAGTACACTAGCACCATAAAAGTACACAGGCACGCTCTACAACGGCTCCGTCGCCGTATCGGCACGGGGCGCGCGCACAAAGTCCTGGAACAGCCGCGCCTGCGCGCTCGTCTCGAGCAGCTCACTCGCCCCGTCCGCCCTCCCCGCAGCACCGAGCTCGTCCAGCGCGCGCACGCCGCTCTTCTCGCCGGGTCGCGCAAATCCCTTGAACCCCCTCCTCCGACTCCCAAACTCGATGCCCTGCCCGGCCTGCTCAAGCGGCGGCGTGACGTCGTTTAGGGCGCCGCGGGCGACGGCGGCCTCGGCGCCCGAGGCGCGGCGGACCTTGAGGTGCACGCGGCCGTCGTTGGAGACGGCTGCGAACAGCGGGTTGACGGGCATCTTCTTGCCGCCGGGGGTGGTGATGTCAATGGTCTCGACGTCGCGCACGACGGCGTGGTGGTCGGCGCGCGAGCCCGTCTGGCCGAGGTGCTGGTCCAGGGTGACGAAGCCGCCGACGCCGAGGCGGGCGTAGTTGTCCCTGCTGAAGGCGGTCAGGCGCGGCTGCAGGACGCGCGAGGTGACGGGCGCGGGGCTGGCCTGCGGGCCCAGGATGGGGTGCGAGGCGAGGTAGGCGCGGGTGCGCAGGTAGCCCAGGCCGGCCGAGGGGTGGGTCGAGGTCGGGGCGCGCTCGGGGTCGATGATGTAGTTGTCGTAGTCGCGGCGCGAGTCGTGCTGCTGGTAGCGGCTGTTCTTGTCCCTGACGGGCGGGAGGCGCAGAAAGGGGGTGATGAGCTTGGTGACGAGCTTGGAGCGCAGCGGGTCGAGGGCCGTCTCCTTGCGCAGGGCCTTGATGCCCGCGGCCACGTCGTCGGGGGTCATGGCGGCCCACTCCTTCTCGCGCGCCGCCTGCCAGGCCTGCGCCTCGGCTTCGTCCATTGGGGCGAGGTCGCCGGCGCGGGCGGCGGCCAGCTGGCGGGTCGTGTAGATTTCGTTCTTGACAAACTCGACGAGGTGCTCGTTGAACTCGCGGCGGCGCTTCGCAATCTCCTTGGCCAGGTAGGCGGAGAAGTCGTCGGCGCTCTGGCCGGGCAGCCAGGGGCCGTCGTGCTTCCAGCGGCGCGTGTTGTGGACGTCGCCGCTGACGGGCGGCGGCTGGAAGGGGGTGAACTGCTGCTCGCGGCCCTCGGCCCGCCACTGGCGGTACTCGCGGGCGCGCTTGTTCTCGCGCAGAGCGCGCAGGAACAGGCCGCTCTCGTCCAGGCCGGCGCGGCGGTACGAGGTGGTGTCGTCGCGGGGCTCAAAGGCGCTGGGCGGGGCCGGCCCGGTGACATCGGGGCCGGCGACGTGGCGCATCATGGGCACGGCCATCTGCTCCCACTTCTGGCGGGTGCGCACATGGTCGGCGGCCGAGTCGAAGTCGGTCACGTCCTCGATGGTGTCGAGCTGGGCGATGCGCAGCACGGGGTCGCTCGTCTGCAGCAGGTGCGAGCGCGCGGGCAGGTTGCGCTTCAGGCCCCAGTCGCCGCGGGCGCGCGAGCTCTTGGTCGTCGTGATGGCCTGGTGCGTCGGGTACGGCAGCGTCGCAGAGTCGGACGCCTTGGTGACGCCGGCGCCCGTCGTCTCGCCCACGACGGGGCGCGGCAGCGGGTTGGGCAGCGCGAAGAGGCGCGAGTTGCGCAGCAGGTGCGCCGTCGGCGAGAGCCTGTTGCGGGTCACGCGGGGGACGGCCATGGCGAAGCCGCGTGTGGGCGTCGAGGGCGTCGAGGGCGTCAATAACGGTGTTGCCCGCGTGCAGCAGCCGTCGACATTTCTGAAGACGAGTGCGCACAGACCCGAGGCACTCCCGCAACTCCGACCGTCGACGGCGCAGCATCCGGCAATGAGTGGTTATGCGGTGATTGTGCAGTGACTGTGCAGTGATTGTGTAGTGACTGTAGTGATTATGTAGTGACTGTAGTGACTGTAGTGACTGTAGTGAACATGTAGTGACTGTAGTGAACATGTAGTGACTGTAGTGAACATGTAGTGACTGTAGTGATTATGTAGTGAACATGTAGTGACTGTGTAGTGACTGTATAGTGACTGTGTAGTGACTGTGTAGTGGTTGTCTACGCGTGTATTGATTATAGTGCTATGAACAGCAGCCATGGGTGTTGCAGTTGTGATTACAGTGTTTTCAACTCCACTGCCCTTTGGCTCTACGCCGCTGACCTGCAGCTCTCTGCGCCCCTTGCCCGTTGTGCGCCGTGCTGTTTGTGCTGCCGGGACATGTTCGTCTTCACCAAACGCAGCCTCACCAAACGCAGCCTCACCCGTTGAGATCTCTGTCCCAGTCCTGCCCGTCGTCGTCGTCGTCGTCGGCCTCGTCCTTTGCGCGGTTGTGTCGCGGGACGTGGCCTTCAATGGCCATGGTGCAGCCCGCAGGCAGCGTCGGTGGCTGTGGCGGCGCGCCGCTGGACTCGCGCTCCGTGACCGTGTCCTGCACCAGGCTGCCGCTGGCCTTGGGCACGGCGCCTGGCTTCTCCCCGCGCTCCAGCGCAAGCTCCGCCGTGGCGCTGGCGTGCGCGGCCCATGCATCCTCGACGTCGGCCTCTTCTGCTGTCCTCGCGGGCGGCGGTGCAGCCTGCTTCGTTCGCGCGGGCAGTGCTGTGCGCAGCTCCGGCCCGTTGTCGACCATGAGCTCCAGCTTGTCGCCGTGGGCCCCTGTGCGCAGCCACGCGGGCTCCTCGTTCAGCTGCACCTTGACGTACAGCGCCCGCTTCGCGCAGTCGGCGGAACACCACACCTCCAGCACCTTGCGCTCTACAATCTCTACGCCCCGGTCCGTGTCGACAAACTGCTTGCGGGCCGTCGACGGCGCGCGCATCTTGGGCCGGGGGCACAGCGCGTACCCGCACTTGTCGGCAATGTTGCGCTCCTCGATGAGCGCGTCGTAGTCGGCCGGCTGGAAGGCGGCGACGGCGTCGGTGAAGTCGCGCGCGTCTGCAGCCGCGGGCCGCCTGGCATCTGCGTCTGGTGAGGGAGGGAAATCGATTAGCGTCATGATCGAGTCGAGCACCTGCGCTTCCGCAGCTTTGCGCTGCTCGAGAATGCTCGCGTGCTGCAGCGCCACGTCTAGGTGGCGCTGCTGCACGGGCTTGCCGTTGCGCTCCGTCATGGGCGGGCCCGTCTTCTTGAGGATAGACTTGGGCGGCATCGTGTGGTGTGGCGGTGGACGGGGATGGGCGGTGTTGCAAGCATACATGGTCGGCACATCTATGCGCCCAGCGTCGACAGGCATCATCAATCGAGGGGCTGCATGACGAAGCCCCCGGCACCTCTTCACTTTGGTACCCTGCGCCGCCCTCGCCCCCGACCTCGACCTCTCGCCCGCAGCCAGACGGTGCACCAGAGCATTCCGTCCGCTGTGCACCGCCCCCAGCCAGCTCTCCGCTGCACTCGCGCCCGGCCACTGCGTCATTCGGCACGCACCGCCAGCTTCCACCGCGCCCGCAGTACCTCGACCCCGACCTGCACCGACCTGCATCGACCTGCACCGCCTGCATCGACCTGCACCGCCTGCACCGCCTGCACCGCCTGCACCCGCCCAGCACCCGCCCAGCACACCCGCGTCCGCTGGCGGCACTCTGATTGCCCGTCTTCTCTGAGCGTCCCGCAGCTGTTTTGCCGCGCGCGAGCTGCCAATGGCGCCCACCATGTTCAAGGTCAGGGCCGTCTACGACTACTCGTCGCCCCACGACGACGACCTGAGCTTCACCACCGGCCAGATCATCACCGTCACCGAGGAAGAGGACGCCGACTGGTACGTGGGCGAGTACACCGACGACGCGGGCACGAGCCACGACGGCCTCTTCCCCCGCAACTTTGTCGAGCGCTTCGAGCCGCAGCCACCGCCGCGGCCCAACCGCGCATCACGGTACCAGCCGCTGGAGCAGCCTGCAGCCGGGTCGGCGCCCTCGACGCCTGTGATCTCGCAGCAGCAAGTCGAGCCCGGCCCTGAGCCTGTGCCTGCGCCCGCGCCCGAGCCGGGGCGCCCCGAGGAGCCTGAAGCGCCCAAGCCCCAGCCGCCGCCGCTGCAGCTCCCGCCCACCGCTGCTGAGCCCAAGCCGTCCGCGGTCCTGTCGCCGCCGTCTGCCGTCCTGTCGCCGCCGTCCCCTCGCTCTGCGCAGAGCAGCCTCCGGTCGCCCGAGGACGCGCCGTCGCCCACAGAAGCCGCAAGAGCGGCTGCCCCCGCGAAGAAGCCCCCGCCCGTCGCCGCCAAGTCGAATGCGTTCCGCGACCGCATTGCTGCCTTCAACCAGCCCGCCGCCGCCCCCATCCAGCCCTTCCACGCCTCTGCCCCGCCGCCGACGTTTGTCAAGAAGCCCTTTGTGGCACCTCCCCCGAGCCGCAATGCGTACGTTCCGCCGCCCAAGGAGGCCCCGCAGGTCAAGACATACCGGCGCGACGAGGACCCCGAGATCGCCGACCGGCAGGCGCAAGACCAGGACGCCGCCGAGAGGTCGGGTCTGACGGGCGCCAGCACCCAGCCCAACGACGCCGAAGACGAGGGGCCGAAACTGAGCCTCAAGGAGCGCATCGCCCTGCTGCAGAAGCAGCAGCAGGAGCAGGCAGAGAGGGCCGCCGCCGCCATGCAGCCCAAGGAGAAGCCGAGGAGACCGGTGCAGAAGAAGAGACTCGAGTCGCACGAGGGCCCCGCCGAAGACAGCGAGGATACGGAGCTCGACAAGGTCGTCAGCGCCGGCTCCGCCACACGCGCCTCCACCGACCACGCTCGCCCGCCGCGAACCCCGCACGACATCAAGGCGCCCGAGTCGCTGCACCACGACCGCGAGCTGCACAGTGACGCCAACGATGCCGACCAGTCCGGCGCCGGCGAGACCGAGGACCAGGCCGACTCCACCAGCGTCGACGACGACGACAAGCGCACAGCTGGCCATCCGCCGCCTGTGCCACAGAGAGCACCGGCTGCGACACAAAGAGCACCGGCTGCGACACGAGAGCCTGATGCTGGCGGCGAGCAGCACCCTGGCGAGGAAGAGGAAGACGACGACGAAGAGGAAGATGAAATGGACGCCGAGACCAGGCGCAAGCTGGAGCTGCGGGAGCGCATGGCCAAGATGAGCGGCGGCATGGGCATGCCCGGCATGTTTGGCGGCATGCCCATGGGCAGCCTGCCACCGAAGAAGAAGAAGTCGACTGCCGACAGCAGGAAGGCCGACGACGCCGAAGACGCGCACGCGCCGCAGCAGCGCGTCGCCATGTTCGCCATGCCCGGCATGCCCGTCAGGAGCCCCGAGCCAGAGAACAAGCAGCTGGCTGTTGCGAGGGAGGACGAGGCCCATGACCCCGTCACTGGAGCGCACGCAGCAAACGCGCTGCCGGACATGGAGGACGTGACGGCGCAGGCCATGTCGACAGCACCAACCGGCGACGGCGCACCGCCTGTGCCGCAAGACCGTAAGCACCTCGTTCCTCGCAAACCCATCAACCCCGACAGCCTCCCTCTTCTCAAACACCTCCAGCTGCCGTACTCGGAGACCGTGTCAAAGACCTACTTGGCCTTTGACGGCGACTCGGAGTATGTCATGACTGTCAGCGTGCTGAGTACGTGCCGCAGACTGACTGGGACTTGTGACGCGCAACGTGCAATTGCTAACCACGCCCAGGACGACCTGCTCCTCCGCCAGCGCCCACTGCCGATCGCTCGGCGCCGCCAGTGCCCGCCGCCTGTACGTTCAAAGTCCACTGCTCTCAACACCTGCTTTCAACAACTGCTGATCGTCGTAGCTCGACCGGTCCCGCCGCCTCTGCCGCCGATTGCCTCGCCAAGCCCAGGCTCGGAGTCTGGCGACGAGCTGACGGACGTGGTCCAGTCGCCCAGAAGCCCGCCGCCATTCCCACCGCCACCAAAGCGTGCCTCCTACTTTGGCGGAGAGCAGACTACCGATTCGCCTGATCGTCGGGTACCGCCCATCCCCCTGGCCAGCCCCACGTCTCCGTCTGCCCGTCTTCCCCCGCCTCCGCCACCGACTGCCGCACCGGGTGTTCACCGTGCCGAGCTGCCGGTGAGGAAGCTCGACCACGAGACCGACTACGAGGGCGACTACGACACGGACACTGCTTCAGGAGACGCCCACAAGGATGCCCTCCAGTCCCACGCCCGCGAGCCAAGCCTAGACGCAAGCACTGCTGGCGGATCTCCCACCATACCGCATGGCATCCCTCCACTTCCCCCAACAGCCCATCGTGCTGTACCGCCGCCTCCTCCGCAGCAACCCCCGAGTCGGCCATCGATGGATCCTCCGAGTCGGCCATCGATGGATGCCCCTCGCGGCGCGCCTCCTCTGCCCCCTGTTCCTCCTCCTGCGCGAACACAGGAGGAAGAAGACGACGAGTACGATCCCTACAGGTACAACTCACAGGCAGTAGCCTCGCCTACCACTGGAGCGCCGCCCGTTCCTAGAGGCATGCCCCCGCTGCCTCAAACCCGCCCGCCGCCACCGATGCCGCCCGCCGCTCCTCCCGTTCCCCAGCATCAGCCGGCCGACTCGTCTGAAGACGAAGACCTGTACTCGGCGCCTGCGCCCAGAAAGTCTCACGATAGACCCCCGCCGCCGCCGCCTCAGGCTCCTCCTCACATGCAAGCGCCTCCGCCGCTGCCGCAGGAGCGGGCACCACCGCCACCTCCGCCCCACGCCCCGCCTCCATTGCACGCTCCACCGCCGTTGCACGCTCCACCGCCATTGCACGCTCCACCTCCACTGCACGCTCCACCGCCGCCGCAGGCGCCACCGCCGCAGCTAGGCGTGCCCTTTCAGCAGCCGCAAGCAGAGCTGCAGCCGCGGTCGTCCATGGGCGCAAGGAAGTCGCTTGACGCTGGCCGGACATTGCAGGGTCGAGTGTCGATGGACCAGCAGCGCCCTCAGACCAGCCAAGACTTCATGGCCGGCGACATTGATGTCGGAGCCTCGGCCCATTGGTGGACGAAGCCAAAGACGCTGCCGCCCTCGCTCCAGGCCCGCAAGGACGTGCTCGTCGACCTGCAAGAGTCGCAGTCCGGCAACATTGTGGAGAAGCTGGTCTCGGTGCTGTTCCTCGACTACTCACAGACCATCATCTCGGCACGCTTCGACAGCACCAACGCATCCGAAGTCGAGCTCGAGCAGCGCCAGGAGCCTCCACCGCCGCGCCTGCGTCCGGACCAGCTCGAGAGCGCCTACGAGCAGTTTGGCCGCCGCATCGGCAAAGACGCCGAGTCGAAACAGGGCAGCGTCGTGGGCACCGGCACGCCCTTTAGCTTCGTCGACGAGCTGCTGAAGGCGCATCCGGACGCCCTCGCGCCCGTTTCAACGCGCGCATACGGCGCCCTCGTGTACGCCAACCTCGCCAACGCTTCCACCCAGTCGCACGACGAGATCCGGCCCGGCGACATCGTCACGTTCCGCAACGCCCGCTTCCAGGGCAAGGTCGGCGCCATGCACGCCAAGTACGCCGTCGACGTCGGTCGGCCTGACCACGTCGGCGTCGTCGTCGAGTGGGATGGCTCGAAGAAGAAAGTCCGTGTCTGGGAGCAGGGCCGCGAGCACAAAAAAGTCAAGCCCGAGAGCTTCCGCATGGCTGATTTGAGATCGGGAGAGGTGAGGGTTTGGCGCGTTATGAGCCGCAGCTGGGTTGGCTGGGTGTAGGCGTAGGCGACGGCGTAGACGGCGGATGGGAGTGTAACTAGATAGTGAGTAGCGTTGTTGTGGGTGTATGTATATGCATTGCATTGGTACTCTTCTGCCCTGCCTCTTCACTTTTCCCTTTTTCCTTTTTCCTTTTTCCTTTTTCCTTTTTCCTTTTCCCTTTTTCCTCTTCCCTCTTCCCTTTCCCTCTTCCCTGTCGCTCTTCCCTTTCCCTCTTCCCTTTCCCTCTTCCCTTTCCCTCTTCCCTTTCCCTTTTCCCTTTCCCTTTTCCCTTTCCCTCTTCCCTTTCCCTTTTCCCTTTTCACAACTCGATTCGTTACCATTGCCTGGCTACGGACCCGTACACGGACTACAACTTCACACCCACAGCTTTCGCGAATAGCCCTGATCCGATTTCCCCTCCGCCTCCGCAGACTCAACCCGCCACCGCTTGCAGAATGCACAGACGGATCGAGTGCGCCCGCCATACTCAGAGTTGATGGAGCCGTGCGGATCCGCATCGCAGCCGAGCATCAATTTTGGCGCGTGGACGCCGCGCATGGAAAACCGGACCTACGCGTCGCGGACGGAGACTGGGGATGTGGATGTGTGCCTTGCGGGTGGATGGCGACTCGCATACGCCTGAGCGCAGGGGAGGGTGTGCGTTATGACCCACTTCGACCCAGCTTTGGCTCTGCATACCGACCCCGAGGCGTGGGTAGGCTAGCTGCTGCTGCTGCTGCTGCTGCCGAGTCTGGGGAAGGAGATGGCTGGGAGTGTCTTGCTAGGCTGTTAGGGAAACGTGAGCTCGCGTGCTACCTTTCCAGTCGTCGCTGCCACAATGACTACACCGAGTCACGGCGGGTATAGTCCATGCCGAACTATTTCCGTACGTAGAAGATGGGCTATATCCAATTCTACACTCACACTCACACCCGCGCCGGCTCTGTCTCGCGTGCAGCTGCGCGCAACCAGCTTCCGGCTTCAATGCAGCCTGCCTACCCTTCAGGAAATGCAGGATTGTGCTGCTGTGCAGCCCCCCTGCTCGTTCTGCGAGCCCCCTCGCTCCGCGATCCCCCCTCGCCATCGCCCCCTCGCCATCGCCTGGACATGACGTCTTGCTGTGCCGCGAAAAGCCAGTTCGCTGTCGAGTATACAGATATGCAGGGACGTCGCTGTAGCCTTACGGGAATTATCTTGGCCTCAAGCCCCCAGCTGGACAAGGGTTGTCAATATCAGTGTTCTGTGATCCGATAGGCTCACGACGAGGCTGTGAAGGGAGGCTTGCATGCAGCATGTCAGCAAGGCAGATCTGCTGTGAGGATGCATGTGAGTCCACCTCCGATATTGCGAAGACCGAAGAACTGCATGATAAGTCCATTTACCTGGGACAATGACGCTACGGGCGGTAAATGCTCCTACTGCTCATTACTTTGGAGGATTACCGCGGTTGATGACGAGGGCGCTCTTACTCCGACCGAAGCCACAAAGAGCAGGGGCGGGTGTGAAATCATCAAGGTCTGCCCGGGGGATCTTGAGGGGGGTCTAGGGTTGGTGCACTGCCAGATCTGCGACGGTCATGTTCCGGACATGGACGAGCGATACTCCAGCGTATGAAGTCCAGCCAAGCACGCAAGGCTGAGTCCGTCGCTGGAGTTCGCATATCGCGCTCCACTTCGCGTGGGAAGCGTCCGCTAAACAGCGCTTGTCGTACGGTTAGATCGCATAGCCAAGCATCATAGTGCAACGAGGCGGTCGGAGTCATGAATGAACGGGTCTTTGGTATCAAGGCGCTTGCTGAGCCACTCAGCCAGCCTTCAGGCGTCCGGCATGTGGCTTGGGGCGATGCCAATCGAGACCGGCGGAGTTTAGAACTTTTCCATGCGTGTGGAAAGTAGTCGAAGACATGAAATGCGATATGCTGCAGGTTGTAAGACATCTCGACATGATCGTGTACTTGCCGTTCATAAAGACGGTTGAGAGGCCGCCAAAGTGGTTAAAGCAAGCCACATGGAGTTCCGCACCAGCAGAGTGCATTGACAACGCATAGATGACACTGAGTGTGGACTGGCCAAGTCTTGCGCATTTACAAGATCGTCATCTATTGTGTCGTGAGTGTGGTGTTGATTCGGCAGTGCTATGGAGCAGGTTCCCTCCTGTCCCGTCAAACATCAGGTCAATTCGTGCCATTCGCACTGAGCGGTGTTGCAAGATCAGAGCGGCAATTGAGGAAGTGTCGCTTTTGGTCAGGATACCTTGGCACCAGAACTGCGCGAACGGCCGCATAAACCTTGACCGCCTAGCAAGGCTGTAGAGTTGCGGAAAACTGGGATGACTGGGTGACTCGACCCGACCGCCACAAAACGGTTAAAGACGCTAGTGTGACCCGTGCGTCTGGTCTTCTTCATGAGGCCGGTAGCAGTGATTGCAGTACTCGCGCTCTCGGTATCTTCATTGTAAGCAGCCTTCGACCAGAACGCGAATCAGCAGCAAAGGCAAACTCGGATGTGCGCATGAAGACATCGCCGAAGAAATCATTGGTTGGGTGACGGGCGGTCTCAAGAAAAGCTGTGAATCGTCAAGCCAAGTCACTTCTTCCCCAGATGGGCTGGCTCAAGGCAACGAGGCAGTGGCTGCTCATGCGCGCTCAACTTGCTGCCTGCTACATCCGCATCGAAAGACCGTATCGCGCCGACTTGCTCAACACTGATGACGAGGGCGCTGAAGACGAAAATTCTGCTGTCCAAAGATTGTACGTCGCAAGTGCGGCGGCCAAGTGAGGTCTGCACGCACGCACGACGCGTCTCCCGCAGGACGGGCGCTAGCGCTCGTCTGCCCCACCAGCAAATGAACGGCAGAGCGCTGCATCCTTCCGTCCCATCACCCAGTCCCACCCTCGTATTTCATGAACAGAGCAATATGGGTCGGGCATTGGGCGCACACGCGCAGATCGCCAGTCCTACGTCCCTGACGGGAGCGACTCGTGTGTGTGTGCAGGGTGAAAGGCCTGCATAGCCTCCACACTTCACGCACCGACCGTGCAGTTGATCACTGGACTCGCGCAATAGTTCGCATCACTAGCATCGCAGGCAAACAGGCAAACAGGCGTTTAGACGCGCTCGAGCGCGTCGTAACTGATGAGCACGCGGTCCGCACCGACTTGGGCACCGAGTGTCGAGATGTTACTGGCAGATTTGGAAATGCGTGCTTCAGCACCGGCTGTTGATTGCTGCCCATCGAGTCGGAGACATTCTGGCGACCAACCGCAACAAAGGGCGCACGGAAGAGCTCGATGATTCTTGGAAAATTGGATTTTCTGAAGAACCATGCTCGTCTCCTTCACAATCAGGCAAGTCTGCGGCCGCTGGTAAGGCATCCGTTGTGGCTGGTCTCCATTGTCCGGGCTGTGCAGCAGCGCAAAAGCCATTCACCGCTGGACCCCAAAACGCTCGGCCCTCTTTTTTTCAAGTCGCAAAACCCGCTCCTGAGGCCTTCCATTCTGATCTGTTCTTATGCGAAGATGTTCCCTCAGATCCACCGCTATTCTTCACCATCCATTCCACCTAGTGTGCACTTCAGGCTACAATCAGGCCCGTCGGCACACTCACACCTCATTCGGCCTTGCAAGGCTGATCGATTGGCTCTGACTCCTGCATAACCCGCTGCAGCCTTCTACTGTACTACCACCAGCTTGCTTTGACACCTCGCCTCTCTTACTCGTTCTGCTATTGGTACGCCTTGTCCCTCAATACTTGTGTCCACACTTTTGTACTTACGAAGTGTCTCAGTTGCTTCGTCATCCAGGCCTCGAAATACAGCAGAATACGAGGGTTACTGCCTGATACCCTGAACATCACACAAGTCCTCCAAGATCGGTAGCAACATTTAGTTACATCGATACTTCCTACTTGTACCTATCAGAGCTTCAGTCTCACAACACCTTTACTACTGGACACTCCTTCTTTGTGTCCGCGCACGTCTGATCAGGACTCGAATTCAGATCATCGTCATCAAGCAGACTCCAGCATCACATCCTATTTCTGATCCGCCATACCCAGAACGCAGGCTATTATACCATACCGTCTTCCTGTTTACTGGTTGCTACAGCGGTCCATCTCACCCATGTGTCGAGTCGACGAGAAGATATACGTCCGCTCGGACGGACGTCGCTCCAAGTTTCAGGACACCTCACTCTGTGAGCGAGGAAGGCGGCGAGGCAAGATGTGCTCCAACGCGGAAGTGCGTCGGACCGAGTACCCTGATCCGACTTCGTCACCCATCGCGAGCAGCCCGATCACGCCCAGCTTTAGCACACAGGCCCGTCGACCTTCGGCGTCAAGCAGACCGTCGACGAGGGATGGATCTATCAAATCTCTAAAACCTGAGATCCACATCGACCTCACTGTCAACAAGGGCAAACCATACTTCTCCATCACCACCGGGAAGAGCAAACGCGAGTCAGCAGGATCTAATTCCGCCTTCGAGTCCGGTGGCTCTGAGGCGTCTCATGCTGTCCGAACCGGATATCCTGAGATCTTGCATCCGTCTCTGAATTCACACCTCCGAACCCAGTCAAGTCGTTATCGCCACCCATCACCAGACGAATCCATCCCGAGCTCCAGCCGCCTGTCACACGTCTATCACAACTCTAGCGACTACGATACACCAAGCCTAGCAACAGGAACAACCGCCACATCCAGCGGTACCCGTCCTGTCATACACCATACCCCTCATACCAGTGCGATGCCAGCTCAGATCAACACCACCCTCGGTCAAGCTGGTGGCCCTGCCAGTCCGTACCGCACGACTGAGGTTGCGCCGAGGGCTTCGCGCAACAATGGCTCGTACACGCCTGAGATCACGGGGCGTGACGAGGACAAGAGGCGGCGACACGATGAGCAGCGGAAGCAGCACGAAGCCGCTGACCGCGAACTTGTCGCCAACTCAGTGAGCGAGGAGAACCAACGTGCTCACTTTAGCCGTGCCGAAGAGCGAGCGAGCAAAACCTTCGCCGGACGCACAGATGGGCGTGAGCAGCGACGGCGACAAGACCACACGGCCCAAGCCGCAAAAGAGGCCGCAGCGAAAGAAGCTGTAGCACGAGAAGCCGCGGCGCGCGAGGCCGCAAGAAAGATGTCACAGACATCCAAACCAGCCGCACCGTCTCGCAGAAACTCTGTTCGCATATCTGCTACAGAAGCTACCAAACAACAGCTCATCGATGCCGAAGCCCGTCAAATGCGCAAAGAGCGTGCAGAAGCAGAGGTTAGGGAACGGGAGGAGCAGTTGTACCAACAGCAGCCACCTGCCTTCCAGCAGCAGCAGTCAGACTCGAGGCACTACGACCAGCCCGTGCCTCGCCGCAACAGTCTCTCCAGCCAGGCACGCCCGGACCTGATCAGGTCAAACAGCAAACGCGGCGCTGCTCCTGAACCACGCGAACCGCGTCGCGAGCCACGCCAACCCCCTGTATCGTTCTACAACAATACTACTCGCACCGACCTGCCACAAGCCCGCGAGCCGCGCCGGCCATCGTCTTCGCACGCAAACAGACCTTTCATGCCCACTGCACCCTCCGCTGACTTGTGGGATGTGCGCAATGTGAGCCAGGCTTTGCCGAGTGCCCGTAACATGGGACAGCCACTGCCGAGAGCTCGTGGCCCTGGCGTCGGACATAACTTCCCGCAACCACAGGCGAATGTCTCTTATCCGCAGCAGGCGAGCCACCGCATGCAGCAAGCGCTGTACACTGACGAGTACCAGACTGATTCCGAGGATGGTCACGATCCCTGTAGCCCTAGGAGGAGACACTGAGGTCTCAACGTGGTTTTGTTCTTCTTATTCGAGCCGGCTGAGTAAGACACTGTACAGGCGTTTCTTTCCCTGATTGTTGGTCTTCAGGCGCTTGGCTTCCCAGTTGATACCCTTCTACCCCGGTGCTCGTCAAACGATTTTAGAGTTCACTTTGCTATTTTACGATGTAGCCGAATTCTTTGCGCGTAATCTTGCCACATAGACATACCCCGACTTCATTGCTTTCTGCGTACACAAATATATCTTACACATGCTCATCAACTGCATCCCATCATCGTCTGTCCATGCCTTTAGATTCAAACTCAATATTGACCTTAACCCGCGTCTGGGTGGTGTTGAACGATTCTCGGCTGCAGGCTGAGTTGCGGGACGTGTGCACGTCAACACGGAAACTGGAGAGGGTATATTACCAAGATTTCTGGTGATGGCTAGCAATTTCAAATTGAAATCGACGTGACTTGATGGAGAAGCTGGCAGCTAAATGGTATTGAGATGGCTTCATGCATCGCAGCCCCTTGACTGCAGCTTTGGGGGTTTGAGATTCAAATACTTGTGTTTGAATGCGACAGACATCTCTACCCATACTAGATACATGCTGAAATGCTCTTATAAATGCTAAGTAAGGCATAACCGTGTGCCAGACGCTTGAGCTGTGTCTAGCAGATAATCCAGAACGACTTGGCACACGGATCAGTGTTGAAGACATCACTGTCCATGTCATACATTGCCATTCCAGCCTCAGAGCCGAGACCATCCACTGCTCCCACCTAGATGAACAGCTTACTGCCGTGGTACTTCGTCATCTCCCTGTACGCTTGCGACGCAGCCGTGGTCTCACGCTTGGGAAAGTCCTTGAGTGAGACAGCATACGTAGCAACCGAGTGCGCAATGAGCTTTGTGTTGACAACGAAAGCAGTCATGTTCACGTTACCAACATCGTCGCAAAGCTGGTGGTAGCAAGGATCGTACCAGTCGCCGGCTTTGCCGCCGAAGACTTCCGCCTCCTCCTTAGTCTTGATACCCTCCGCTCCGGTGGCAATACCTCCTCCAGGAATACCGTTGCGGATGAAGCCATCGTAGTCACTGCGTCCATCGAATGGAATGAAGGTGTAGTTCAAGCCTTGCGATTCGTACCAGTCGATGTACAGATCACGCAGCTCTTCAGAGCCGTTGGGGTTCAGGGCGTTGGTGGCGTTGTAGATCTGGTAGGCGAAGTTGGGGCTGGCCATCATGTCGTAGTCCATAAAGAGGCGGATCTTTTGGTTCTCTTCTTCGGACAACGATTGCACGTAGTAGTCGGAGCCGAGAAGACCCTCCTCTTCGCCAGCCCACCAAGCAAAGCGGACACAGTTGCTGACGTTGAATTTTGTCAATTGTGTGGCAACTTCGAGGAGCGAGATCGTGCCGGATCCGTCGTCGTTGATGCCGGGCCCTTCGGCGACGCTGTCGCTGTGGGCACCAAGCATGACGCAGTTCTCCGGATCGCCCTCTGTGGTCTGGGCAACGATGTTGACTGTCAAGATCTGCTGAACTTCGGCATCGATGTATGCAATGGCATCGACGCGCTTCTCTTTCTCGAGCTTCTTTAGTACAGGCGCTGCCTCCTCGCCAGATAGACCAAATGTAGCAACGTGATCTGGCGACGGCGTACCCAAGGTACCGGAAACCGCATCATTCTCGTAGTTGTATACGATGGCAGCGATAGCCCCCTTCTGGCCAGCATGCTCTGACTTGGTTCCAAAAGGACACACTCCACGTTTGATGAAAGCAATGTTGCCAGCAACCGCGTCTGGAAAATCGGAAAGCTGGCAGCCCTCGTTATCTACCAGAACAACATCTCCGTGGACTGGCTCCTTGTTCTTGGTAGGCGGAGTCAAGCCCATTGGTGCGGCCGACTTGGGTACATCAGCTCCAAGCACGAGTCGTGATTCGTACACATTGCCAGAGACAGCAGGAAAGCTCTGGTTCGAGATGGTGTAGTAGTCTCCAAGCTGCAGAATGCTTTCGTAGATGTAGGAGAGTGTTCCAAGATGTCCTTCGGATGATCAGTTGTTGAGCGGCAGGTGCACGTGCATTGACCTACCGGCGCTGCCAATGACCCTGGTAGGGTGGTTGTACTCCTCCTCTCCAAGCTTCGCGATCTCAAACAGTTTCTTCGCGCGAGTCAATAGGCGGTCTCCGCTGATCAAGTCCTGCAGTTCTGTCGAGTTGACGAGCGGCTTCGAGCCTGATGGGTGGCCGAGTAGTGCCTGGTTGTTTGACGAGAGCAGAGGGACTTGTAGCGCAGTCGCGCTTGTCATAGCAGCGCACAGCGCCCAACGAGAAGAGTAGACCATCTTATTGTACTGAAAGTAGATTCAGGACGGGAGAAAGATGGAGAAAGAGGTTGTTGATGAATGAGTCGCAGTTGCCATCACGCCGATCATCACGCCGGGCGCGCACGCGCCGCACCTGCGATAACGCCAAATCACGCGCACGCGGAGCGAGTTTCACAAGGCAAGAATGGAGACATGGCTGGTAGGCAGAGATGTGAAGTCAAGAGAGACTGTGAATCGCGACAAAATCTATAATCTCATGGGATGCGTTTATAGAATGTGAGAGATGAGGAAAATGCATGGAACAACGCGTGGAGATCGACGCCCGGTTTTTGAAGAGCCTTTGCACGCGTTCGAGCGGGTTGCAGACTCGGTAGGGCAACCCAGTTGCGGTTTCCTGTGTTCTTCCCCGGCTGAACGAGAGCCGTCTGATCCGACCCGCGAGGTGCCTGCAGCCTCCTTTCGAAAGTGGAGATCGGAGCGTCTGCGAGGCTGCTCGAAACCCTGAATGTGCGGAGTGTCACGCCCTTCGGGCCGGTGACATCACGGCGCGTGCGTTCCAGAACCAAGTCCAGCTCTCAAGCCAAGGGTCATCAAGCATCACCTTGAGGCTTGGTGACGTGCACCTACTCAAAACAAGCAAAGGGCATAATCCTAGCGTAGGCACGCTGGACATCGAATCGAACGTTGCGGAGAGTCACTGTTGATGCACGAGTGGTGGCAGGCTGCTGCAGAACGAGCGGCGTTTGGCAAATAGAGAGCTGCGAGGCTGTGTTATGATCAAGCAACACCGTGCGCAAATCGACAGGTGCCAGCGATGCAGCGGGCCCTCCACGATTCGATAACAAGGAATTAAACGTCCACCGCCATGACGACCCGCTGCTACCCCTGTCGAGACACGTCTGGCTCACCCAGCCCGTCCAGCCCGTTCTTTATATTGTCTTAGTAGGGCCCACCGCAATTCGTTAATTGATCCTCCACAACAGCGCTGGGTGCACCTACTGCGCTCGCCCTGAAACGCTATATTTACTGCTGAGCTGCTCTTATAGCCTCCACAACGACTGCCTGATTACCCTGCGCTTGACACATACACACAGTCACGATGGCACGCCAACATTCGCGCTCGTCGCGGGAGCACACTGCGAGAGGGCACACGTCGCGAGAGTACACGTCGCGCGAATACACAACGGAGAAACCACGCAGACATTCACATCAAAACGGTTCGAGCAGTCCAAGAAACAGTCCTGCAGGCGCATTGCCGCAGTACAACCATAACGGGCATGAGGTTACTAAGGGCATTCACCCCGATGGTGAGAGTGGTAGAAGGGGCTTCCACCCATTGAAGTTCCTGAAGATCGCCTTCAAAAGCAGCAGCACGCCCTCGATGATGGCCAATACGCTTTGGCCCATTGTCCCTGTTGCAATTGCTCTGGTATGGCTTCCACCTTGCATCCAGTCAAGATCAACTGTTGACGAGCTCGTAGCATTTCGCAAAACCAGAATGGGAGCTTGCCATCTTCATCACCAACTTCATCGCCATGGTCCCCGCTGCCAACATGTTGGGCTTTGCTGGTCAAGAGCTGTCGCGCAAGATGCCTCAGAAGGCTATCGCCGTCGTCTTAGAAACCACACTGGGCTCTGTGGTCGAGATCATCCTCTTCATGGTGCTGCTCAAGACAGACAGGGAAGGGTCGAACGTGCAAGTCATCAGAGCTGCCATTCTCGGTTCGATCCTGGCCAACCTCCTCCTCTGCCTCGGATCATGCTTCGTCGCCGGCGGTATCAAGAACGATGTTCAGGAGTTTCACGAAGCTGTCTCGGAGTCTGGAAGTGGTTTGATGCTCGTTGCGTCAAGTGAGTCTTGCAGCCTTACCTCGTGAATTCAGCTAACGTCATCAGTGGCGCTGGTTCTGCCAGCCGTATTCGCCAAGTACTTGATGAACAACACAGATTACACCTTCCCGACAGCGAACTTTGTTGTCGACAACGCGACTAAGATCTCGCGTGGTGTCGCGATCATCTCGCTTGTCGGCTATCTCATCTACGTCGCCTACCAAACCATCTCTCATGATGGCCTTTTTCACGAGATCTACGAGGCAGATGAGCACAAGGATCTGGACCGCCACGAGGAGCTGAGGAAGCCGAAGCTAACACTGACGGAAGCATTCATTGCTCTTATCATCTCTTTGGCTTGCGTCTCGTTGATAGCTATCTTCTTGGTCCAGCAAATTGAGTTCATTGTTTCTCGTGGCATCAGTGATGCCTTTGTGGGTCTTATCTTGATCCCTCTCGTTGAGAAAGTCGCAGGTACGTCCCACAACTTTCCCTCCATTTTGCGATGCTAAGAAACCTCTCAGAACATCTTCTAGCCATCGATGAAGCCTACGATAATCAAATTAACATGGCCATGGCCCACGTCATGGGTGCGTCCATCCAGACTGCTTTGTTCAACGCTCCTCTTGTCGTCCTCGTTGGTTGGGGTCTCGGTGTGCCACACATGGACTACAGCTTCGCCATCTTCGACGCTGTTGCCCTTGTTCTTGCCGTGCTCGTGGTTGGATCATTCCTCCGCGATGGCAAGTCGAATTACTTAGAGGGTGTGTTGTGCATCATGGTGTACATCATCATCGCCATTTGCGCATTTTACTTTCCGAATCCCGCCCACGCTGCGGAGAGCGGAAGCGCTGAGGGTGGCCATTGAGCGGCGATCTCGCAGGGTTCTCTTTGGCAGCAGTTCCATCAGATTGTGTTAATGCGAGCAAGGAGTCATGGTTGCTTCTGTACGATCCTATGAAGCGAGCATCAGCGATGGGTTGTTATTTCTTGGCTGTTAATTAGCGAGCGAAGCCACCATCGTAGATGTTCATAATTTCATCGACTACACATGAATCTACGAAAGCGCAGGATGCATGATCGCGCATACTCAACTCCGGCGAATGCGATGGCTATACATCAATGTCCGTGCCATGATGCTGACCTGCTGATCCTCAGTTCTACCCAGGTGGATACTCGCTCTGCACTAGAATGTGTTAGGTTAGCTCTTTCTGTTGCGGGATATCGTTTATGCGCCCCGCCCACACAGCCGAATTGATCGAACTTCACGAACCCCGACGCTCACGACGACCACTAACCCCAACAGCTCTCCTCTCCCACCGACTCTCCGTAAATCCATACACAGTCGCAAAAATGGGTCGCGTCCGCACAAAGACAGTCAAGAAGTCCGCAAAGGTCATCATTGAGCGTTACTACCCCAAGCTCTCGCTCGACTTCGAGACCAACAAGAGGATCTGCGATGAGGTGAGACGTCCAGAGGCTGCACGAGTGCGCGCTGAAGCTAATGCGCCTGACAGATCGCCATCATTGCCTCCAAGCGTCTCCGCAACAAGATTGCTGGTTACACCACCCACTTGATGAAGCGCATCCAGCGTGGTCCCGTCCGCGGTATCTCCTTCAAGCTCCAGGAAGAGGAGCGTGAGCGCAAGGACCAGTACGTCCCCGAGATCTCCGCGCTCGACTTCACCCAGAACTCCGAGTCTGGTGCTCTCGACGTCGACCAGGAGACCAAGGACCTCCTCAAGTCCCTCGGCGTAAGTTTCGCCCCTCGTCATTTCATTGAGTGCGCCTGTTGACGTGCCCCAGTTCGACTCCATCCCCACCAACGTCGTCGCTGTTTCCCAGCAGCAGACCGTCGAGCGCCCCCGCCGCTTCGGCGACCGCAACGCCCGCAACTAAATGTTGTGCGCGGCTCGGTTCTCCTTTCCTTCTCGATATCCTGAAAACATGGTGCTTGGGGTTGGGAGTTTGCCATGACTACGGCATGGTTTTACGGCTATATATGGCGGCATGACGACTAGGAGTCTGAAAATAAAGGTTCTTCTCCCCCACCAGGTGTCGCTGATTCGAAATGCTGCAAGGCACGACGATGACGCTTGATTGCCATTCCCTTCATCGGGAACCCCTCCCCTCTTTGCTCAGTGATGCTGGTGTGATGTACACATGAGGGCTAGGACCGTACCTTATGGCTGGCCCGTCATCAGGTAAGTGAGCCTCTTTTCTTGTCTTATGCTAGTCTTGACCACCTCTAAGTCAATCAATCAAAAGTGTTTCTTCAGGTCTTCACTCACGCAAGCTCTTCTCGGTGATGGGGATATCTGCGCTAGTCATGCATTGAGACTGAATATCTGAATGTTGCGCTACCGGTCAATGACCTGCCCGTTTCGCTGATGCGTTCATGTGTGGGATCCATCAAGTTTTTTCGAAACACCGAACGCCAGCCATGTCGTCTAGAAGGTCGACCATATCTCAGATCGTCTGTCATCGGAACTCTAGACCCAGGAGGTAGTCAATGTCCCAAGTCACCATTGCTGTTCGAGAGCGCCTGACAGTTTTTCAATGTATCCATTACCTTTCCCTCGCTCACACCAGTACAGCCTCAATGCAAAGCATCATGATGCATTTACGCATTCCGGACCTCGATGCTCTACTACATCTTCTGGACTTCGTCGCCCATAAACTTCCGAATATCCGCCATGCTGACTTCGCCATCAGCAGTCTGCTGACTGGGACCAGAAGCGCTTGCGGCACCGACTGCCTTCATGCCCTCATCTTTTTGACCAACACGACGAGCTGTGCTGACGCTTGGAGGAGTCCGAGGCTGCGATGGCTGAGAGTAGTTAAATGGTGAGGCAACCTGGGGGTTACCTGGTGCACTTGGCGAATCCCTGGTAGGTGTCTGCGAGCGGCGGGGGGGAGTTGCGCGCGGCGAGAGTTGCGAGGACCTGTCGGACGCAGCGTCGGCGTTAGGCTCTGGGCCTGCTTCGGCGTCCTTGTAGTGCACGGCGCGGAAGTCTGGAGTCTCTCCACGTGCTACGACGATGCGGTCGCGAGAATCTCGTGGAGGTTGAGTGTCGTCGTCATCGTCGGAGCTGCCGCAGCAGGAGCTGAACAGGGCCATGGTGGTGATGATGAAGAAGGCGATAAAGCCACCGGTTATGGGTCAGGTGAGCTGGGAGATAGTCAGTACACTGAAGCGGCGCCTAGGATTTGTGGAAAGGACTGAAAGACATGCGGGATGAATATGAATTGACTGGCGTCGAAGAGCTTGTTTGAAAGATCTCATGGTCGAAGTCGTATGAGTCGTTTGTGGATCAAGCGCGGAGAGCTCAGGTGCTTAAAATTATGTTTGCGAGCTGCCTAAAGCTCATACTGTCACCGTCGGTGAGTGTTCGTAACTTGACTTCGTCACTCGCGCGCTACATGGTAACCAATTTGACCTTGCGAATTCACAGAACACAATATTTAGAGCCACCGAGCTTTCTATTGCTAGAGCAGTCTCCGACTGAAGAATCGAACTTGCATTACATTCTACTGCAGGCGAATGTCGGCTTTCCGCCAAGCTGGGTGTAGTCATAAGACCGGCGTAGCATGCTCGGCCTATCAACAAACACCCCACTACCACCACAAACACTCCACCACAGCATTTCCCTAGGCTCTTCAAAGATCATCATGAAGTTCAACAAGTTCGAAGTCCTCGCGTCCCTCCTCTGCTCTTGGCTTGCGGGCTTCGCTCTGGGTCTCTGGCGCTCCGAAGGCTCGAGATCTCTATTCGTTTGCAAGGACACCAAGGACTTCACCAATTTAGACTCCCTATACCACTGACCGCGAGACCGGATTGGTCATCGCAATCTTCGCCGCGGTCGCCACAGTCGCCATCTATAAGTGCGTCAGCGCCGACAAGACCATCGCCCAGCTTAACCGTAATGTTGGCGAAGTGCACACCATGGCCATTATTGACCTCCAGAATGCTCACCGCAAGCACGTCATCAAGGTCAAGTCGACCCACAACCAGAACATGCGCAAAGCTCAGAACGAGATCCGCCGCGTTACCCTCAACTTCGACCGCTTCAACAGCGAATACGACTACATCGCCACCATGTACCAGACCAGACGCGCTTCAACTTTGAGCGAGATGACCACATCGACTACCTCGAGAAGAAGCTCAAGGAGTTCCGCCAGCTCAGCTCCGCAACTCCGACTGCGTCGTTCTCTGCGCCTGCCTCCTAGACTCACTTAGACAACCCTCCTCGTCGCGGTCGTGCTGCTGTTACTGCCCCCTCACCCCTCTCCCAGGATTCGATGGTGCAGGTACCAGAGGTTGAGGAGGAGTAGGTCTCGAGATGGAATTGCAATTGACATTGGACACCTCCTAGGTTTGTCGAAATAGTTTAGAGGTGACGGAGATACCCGCTGTATGCGGGGAGAATAGGTAGCATGAACCAAAATGGTATCCTGATTCACTTCTCAAGTTGCTGCGACCTCATAATCCGGGAATGGAGAATTCGCTGTGCCACCGTAAGCAGGGAGATACCTCCCGATCATGCCGCCAACTTGCTTCATAATCGCACTTGATGCAATACCCGTGAGCTTGTTAAATGTCCACACACCCCACTCTGTCTGCGGATTAGCTACCTGCGGTGCGCCTGGAAATAGCCTTTGTGCCTTCTCCACGTAGGGTCTGAGCGTCTTCTCGTACTGCTCCAGCGCATTCGGTATGTCATGCTGGCTTCTGCTCACCTCACCCGCAAGCACGTATGCTCCGATGATCGCAGACCCCGCGCCCTTCGTATCTGTCAGCATTGTACAGGAAAGACGACAGGACTTTACTCACCACACCAGAGATCGGACTCGGGCAGTACGCAGCATCACCCAATAGTACCACGCTCCCTTTACTCCATTTCTCCATCTTGACCTGCGCGATCTGCTGCAAGTAATAATCCTCCGCTTTCTTCATCTCCCGCATACACCTCTCACTCTGCCACCCTACACCCTCAAACTCCCTCTCGAACCACTGCTCTTGCGCCTTTCTATCACCATTCCTCATAGCCTCATCAATCTCATCAAATCGGCTCATATTTGAATCAGTAACGGCCACATACGCCCGCGTAGTCCCGTAGCCGTCTGGACGCAAAAGCACAAGGCGACCTCGGGTAGCGTTGTACCACTGTGCGAATTTCGTATCGGTCTCTGTTCGAGGTATGGTGAATAGCACGGAGTACTGTCCCAGTCGTCGGATGTACTCGTCGTTGTTGGGACCGCGGCCGAAAATCAGGCGGCGTGTGCGCGACATCATTCCGTCGGCGCCGACGACGAGGTCGTAAGTGGCTGGTGCCAGACGGTTGGAGAATGTGACGTTTACCTTGCGATCGGTTGTTTCTTCGATAGAAGACACCATCTCATCGAAGATGTAGGTAATCCGGTCCAGGGATTGCGTTGCGTCCATGAAGATCTTCGCCAGGTCGCTGCGGAGGATTTCAAACTCGGAGGTCACGCTCTGTGCTTCAATGTTGCCGCTCGCTGGGAACGTGGACTTGGTGACACCATCTGCGTAGACGAATTGTAGGCCTTCTTCTGTTGTCGTCTTGTCACGCACAGAGTCTAGTAGGCCCATGCGCGAGACGATGGGCACGGCAAAGGAGCGTAGGTCTACTGCTTGGCCGCCGTGGCGCGGGGTAGGCGAGCGCTCGAGGACGGTGATATGGCATGTTGGAATCAATTTGTGCAGCCAGAAGGCGAGGCAGGGACCCGCTATGCCGGAGCCGCATATCAAAATGGTGAGAGGTTGGTGCTCGGGAGCCATGGTGGTGTTGATGTAGAGAACTGGGGACGGTGGAAGACCCGTCGTTACTTGATTGATAAAATGATAACAGTGACAGTGCCCTTGGCGATAAGCTCGGCCATACCGAGACCACCGGGTCAATGCACGCGTCGGGTCAATGCACGATTTCCTCACTTTCTCAACACCACAAAATGAAGCTGTACAGCCACGCACAAAAGCGATGATTGTGAGAAAATTTGGTAGGATGATGTGTTGATGTATACAAAAGTCCTCTGTGAAGGACTGATAATTGCGAGTTGCAGTGCGGCCGCTGCGGGTGGTGACTGTGCGGGAGGGTGGAGGAGCCTCCTCTACAACAACACCATGCCGCGCACGCGCAGAACGGCTCTTTTTTGTACAAACTTCTGCAGGTGCTTTCTGTGATACCTTGCGCTTGCCTGATTGGGATAATTGTATAGATTTAGCAGCGTCGCGCTCTTGCTTTTTGCGCTTGCGATTGGCGGCTTCTTCTGCTCTCCTCTGCCTTGAGGCCTCAAGGCGCGCAGCGTACGCAGCAGAGCGTCTCTCTTTCTCCAACTTGTTGCGTAGCGTTGCAGCAGCTCGCTCCTCGCGTTGATGGTGTTTTGCCACTTCTTCTTCTAATCTCTTTGTCTTATTGAGCCTGTTGCAATGACGTGCGTCGCGTACTTTGCTGGGGGAGTAGAGGAGGGCTTCGCTGCGTCCCTTCTTCTGTTAGCGTAAGTCAAGAGTCTCCCAATTCTTCTTTAAGGGGTTTTGTGTAGCAACTGCTGCAGAGAGTCCTTTGTTTTTAGCTGTAAGTATCTTACAAGAAGCAGAGAGGTGGTAGAGGGTACAGCAGAGCTGCCTTGTGTTATCTAAGGTGTTTCTACCTACAACAGCTTTGTAACGTTACAATTAATTAATTAAGCGCTAATTGTAGGCCTTAATAGGCAGAGGGGTCTTATACTTACTCTCGCTATTATTGTCCTATTAGCTAAGTACTGCGTTAGGGTTAAGCAGCTATTATGAGCTCTTTCGTGAATGTTTGCTGCCAGGATTGCCAGAAGAGCATAAAGAAGTCGTTCTTAGGCACGCCTAAGATGCCTTGGCTATCGTGGAGGTGCTGGGTGACGGCACTGCTGTAGTTTTGAGCCAATGGAGCGAAGCACACAGCGTTGAGCAGCTGCAGCGACTGAGTACTGTGTGGAGGAAAGATTGCTAGCAGAATCTTGTGCTAATTGCAGAAATTAATAAAGGCTATTATTATATAAGAGCTGTGGCTATTAATAATAAGCAATTGCTAGCTTCTGCACGCTTTCTTCTTAGTGTAGCAGTTAAATAACTGCTCTAGCTAGGCAGGCCCTACCTTATTACTTATCTAACCTAAAGGAGTTACAGTTACAAATACTAAGTGTTTTCCTGGCTTAATATCCTCTACCTAGGAGCTTTGTATGGTGTTGTCCTTGCCTGTGAGAATAAGACCTAGAGGCAGAGCACTGCCATCAGCTAGGCTGGCGGATGGGTAGGGTATGCTTTTTTACGTTTTGGCTTATAGCTTCTTAACTAGCAGAGATACGCTTACATAATCTATTATTCAATAGAAGCGCCTAGTATTGCGCCTTCTTATAAAAAAAGAATTAGCTTATTCTGCCTAGTATTAGCTAAGTTATTAACACTACCTAGCAAAGTATACCTATTAATGGGTATGCTTGCTAGGTACCCCCCCTTTTTTAACCTTTTCTAGCCTCTAGCTTGTGCAGTTTAATAGTTATAACAAAACCCTCTACTACAGAAATGTAGAGGTAGTTTTTCTCTTTCTTTTAAGCCCTATTTTGCTAGAATCCATGTATTATTGACAAAGTTTTGGGGGGTACCCACGAAGGACGTTGGAGTATACCCATTCCGCCAGCCTACCATCAGCGCAGACGCTCGCCAACAGCGTCACCCACTCTCTATTGCTGTCCTGTAGTAACTGCCTGTTCTTCTACTTCTTATACAAGCGCTTACTAAAGATCCTCTTGCTCCTAGCAACAAGACTAATAGTAAAGCCTTTCTTATCTATGTTGTACATGTTAGCTGCCCTAATATTGTATTTTTTTAATTTTACTGTGTAGGATGTAACGGTCTAGACTCTTAAGCTAAAGAAGAGCTAGAGCTAGCCGGTTACATTAGCTTAGCCGGCTTGGCTTAAGCTAGATATATATTATCTACGCAGTTAACTAGACGTCTAGTTAACTTGTGCATGCTTTTTAGCAAAAGTTGTTAGGAAGTAGATATCCTTTATTGGCCTTTGGCCAGACTACTACATAGGAGGCTAAAATAGGCCTTATACTTGTTGCTATTATTAGCAGCTTAACGTACCTCACGGACGAGTCGATCAACGGACGAGTCGATCACTTTTGCCAAGCCCTCACCAAAATCTAACCTATTATGGCTCACAACACCACACTTTAGCCCTGCAAAGTGCAGTACGGCCTAGATTACTATTCAGAGACCTCTTCTACATTAATCTTGCACGTTCGCGCGTTGTGTCCAGTCTGATTGCACCTTCTACAGCGCCTTTGGCTCGGCTCACCCTCTTGAGCGCGCACCTGCTTCTTTGGCTTCTTCCCATCACTACGCGCCCCAAACTCCTTTAGAGCTGCTAGTCGCTGCCCATCTCCTACTATTAGGGTCCCCTCCTTCTAAACCTGCTTTCTTTTGTGTAATTTTTATCGCGTTGCAGCCTTATTAGCTGCTTAAAGCTAACTAATTTCCTGTTAGGCCAAAACTAGCTCATGCGCAATAATTACTGCCCCCTTTAACACCTTCTTAAACGCCTTAACTATAGATATAGGAGAGCTGTCTGTATGCATCTAAATCCTTGTCTTTACCAGCGTCAATTGCGACCTAAGTTCTAGGGTATTGCTAGGGGTCTGCAACTGCTAGGGCTTGTTGTTAATAGGCAATAGTAGTGATAGAGTCCGCAGCTTTATATTAAGGCTGCTTATAACCTATTCTAGCTTAAATAGGACTAATCTAGCGCCTTAGAACCCTCCTTAGATGTTGCTAGGAGTAAATACTACATTATAGGCTGCTTTAAAGCATGGCAGGAACTCTGTCTTTGTAATATAGTTAATCTAGTTATGTATAAGCATTTTAACTTAGCGCCTATACAACTTCTTTAAAGGGGCAAAACAACCTACATCAAGTGGCTGTAGAAGGTGCGATAAGTGAGCAGGCATACACAAGGTTACAATCTTGTTATCCTTGCAGTATTGCTGGAATTAGAGCGACTTGTGGCTCTCATGGCCGTCAATTACCAGCAAATAGTGTGTACCCACAGTGCGCTCCTTTAAATAAGCGTTAAAGTGCTTTAACTACTTAAAACTAAGCTTATTAGTAGTCTAGCTATTATTAGAAACTCTAATAACCTAATCTTAGGGCAGGTCTTCCTCCTTGTACTAGCTAGAGAGGTAGTGGCGCGCCTTAAAGATAATAAAGGGCGGAATAGCCTATCCTTTAGCATTAATGCCCTATATGACTGTTACCCACTCCCAGTTGCCTAGCTAGACTGACTTTGGCCTTCCTCGTCTCTCTGAAGCTGTAACAACTGCTCCTAAGGAGATCTAGCCTATTATAAAGCCTGTCTTGTTAAAGTTGTACGTGTCTTTATCCTGAATGCCATACTTAGCTTTAACGTTGGCTACCAGGCTAAACTAGCCCTGCAGGGCCTCAGGATCCTCACAGAGGGCTCTCTTGTAGTCGTACTTGCGATTAAACTTGACTTTAAGCTCTAGGTGTTGCTTAACAAACGTACTAGGCCAGTTTGCGCTAATAGGGCCTAGATTGCGCTCAGCGCGCAGAGAATTGGCCATAGCAGCCACATCTGCGAGCCGAGGGGCAAATCCTCGCTCATCTAGCTCAAGTATGTGCTTAACAATCACCTGCTCCTTATTGTTGTCTAACCCTTGTAAGTTGGGCATAGTATTGCCTCTTGAAGGTCGTCCTGCGCGTTGATTGCTTAGTGTGGCTTGAGGAACGTTGTAGATAGCTGCAGCGCGTCGCTGGGAGAGAGTCGCGTCTTGTTTGAGAGCTTAAAGCGCAAGCTGTATCTAAGCTTCCTTTAACGCGTTAATATTAGGTTGTTGTTAAGACATTGGTATAGAAGAAGTACTTTGGTGGGGGCTTGGCAAAAGTGATCGACTCGTCCGTTGATCGACTCGTCCGTGAGGTACGTTA